CGATTGAGGGAGCTTATAGAGGAAGGATAGACAGCAGCGTCCTTCTTAAAACATGTCTAAAAGTCTAACTGCGGTTGCCAACCCGCCTGCCAAACGTAACAACTACTAGCAAAACTCCCCTTATGGGGAAGACTTATATCCAGCAGTGAACAGTTGACGGCTGAAATAATAATAATAACACTATGCAAATATATATAAATTTCTAGTAAAATCAAAGGTCTCTATTCCATCTCGCCTTTAAATACTATATAGTTTTCAACTTGCTGAATATCTCGCAAGAGGGTCCCGAGGGAAATTCAATTATGAATATTAATATTTGTTATCAAGTCTCCAATTGATGTAAAGTTTTAATGAAGATATGTTGATGATTACTGCAATAACGTTATGTTCGTCATTTAAAGTTTTGTCTTGATTACATTTGTAATTTGTATATATATATATATATATATATATCAAGAATTCTTGTAATGAAAAATATCATGGACGAAACAGTATACTCTGTTATGTCCATGGTACTGCTCATATCTATAGGCGACGGTTACCACTTTCCATAAGGTGGTTCCGTTAGCTTGTTTGCCATTCAGTTGTAAAAAAAAAAAAAACATAATTTTGATTCTTTTAAGTGGGTAAATTAAATCGTAGTGGTATATATAATTATTTCACCTCTTTCATTCGAACTGGCCACACAGACTCGACAACTATGTTTCTTTTCGTATACATTTTCGATGTCATGCTCTCTATCTCGATTGCTTGTTTTGACGCTCCTTGTTACATAATTTCTATTTTTCTAATTTACTTTCTCTATATCTTTTATTGTAAATACCTTCTGAATATATGTACATATAATAATAATAATAATAGCCTTTATTAACAATATTACAATATAATAATAATAATTTAATTATTTGTTTGACACCGGTACATAAAGATTGTCTTGCTGTCCAGCGTAGGCCCCTAGAGTTCGCCACTGAATGCGATTCTGCGTTTGTCTTTTCCAGGTGTGTCCGCTATTTTTTTGATATCGTCTTCCCATCTACGAGACTTTCTCCCTTTTTTTTTCTCTTATATTGTCTCGGACACCACTCTATAATATCCTTAGATCATTTTTCTGTATTTGTTCTAACTATACTATACTTTCTCTATATCTTCTATTGTAAATACCTTCTGAATATATGTACATATACTCATTTCGATAATTATTTACCCTGAAAAATTAACGTCATGCATTTTACTTATAATGTACCTTTTTGACCTTTTTGGTCATCTTTTCTCTTTATAGATCCACGAATTGATTTTTTTCATATTTATCTTTTATATTTAGAGTATATTGTATGTATTAAATAACATTAAATTTTTTATACTGTTGATTTTCTTTTCTGTCCAGATAAAATTTTGTTTCATGTTAATTTTAAACTATTTTTTTATTGCCTAAAAGTTTTTCTCTCTCACCACTAGTCTCATACACTTCTTTAGCTTATACCAATACACGTTCATAATCAACTTTTCTTTAAAATTTATATTTACATTATAATAATAAAATTCAAAATGCAAATGTAACAGCAATAGTATAACTAGAATGGTTTTCAACCTTGTCTCTTTACAAATAGATATTACTTTTGCATTAAACAAAAACTATTATAGTCAAAGGAAAGAATATTTAACTTTTTCCAACTTAAATTCAACTTGCAAGGAATAATAATGTGCAGGTGTCACTATCAAAGATACGTACAAACATAGCAAAGTGGAATATTTGTTCTTTTAATCTTTTCCACATGCGACTTTTAAAGCTCTGGATATAAAGTTAATTTTAATTTATTTAGTTTTTTACCAAATTATTAATTTTATCATAACCATATTATGTAAATGATGTGTATAATTTTGATTCATAAATGTATATTCTATTATAAATTTATGTTATCGCGTTAGATAAAACCTGGAATGGCATTGTTTTAATAAAGAATTAATAGTAAGAAATGATAAACCATATTAATATTGTACACTTAAATCCTGCTTCATGGTTTGAAGATAAAACAATAAAGTTGTTTTTAAAAATTATGGTATGTTTTCAACGATGTCTATACACATGTACAACGAAACCATGCAATTCTATGAACTTAATGTGTTTGTCGGAAACACATCTTCATCGTCATCATATGTCCACTGCTGAAGATAAGCCTCCCCAAGGGGTGAGGGGGGGGAGTTCCAGCAGTTGTCATGCTTGACAGTCGAATTGGCAACCGCAGTTAGACTTAGTAGATATTTTAAGAATGACGCTGCTGCCCATTCCTCGCCGTTCGTTAGTCGATTCTTACGACACCCAATGGAAAGGAAGAGATTTATCCTATGCCGGGACTACACGGCGTCGGAAACACAGTATGTGAGCAAAGCACTAGTAGTACACTACTAGTAATCTACTCGTGACAAATGATCGCGTTAATTCCTGTATCTTAAAAAAATATAAAACATGCAACGATGCAAAAATCTAAAAGTAATATTAGTATTTAAGTACTCGTAATTTAATCGACGATCACTAATTTACCAGTTCAAAAATATGCCTGAATAATTTTAACGCTACGTCGCCAGATGTCGGGACCAGCCATTGAGCCTGCCAAGTTAACCCTTCCCTGTCCCGCCACGCTTAGCCACGCCGAGAGGGATGCCAAAGCCAATGAACGAAATATAAACCACTTAAACATAATTTTGTAGCCAGTCTTTATTATGACGAATATATGTTTGACAAATAAACACTATTACTACTTGTATTATATTTTATGATATTTGATATTTTGTTGCTAAATTATTAACAACACAATATTATTAATTTATAAATAGATTTTGCTTCAACAAGACTTAAATCTTTTCAAATTTGAATTAAGAATCATCACAACTTTGAAATAGTTATTTTCATTAGTCAATCAACTAAATCAATTTTGATGAAATTTTTTATTCAACAATATAAAAGTGCATATTTTCAAATTCAAATATAAATAATGGAGTTCTGAGATAACAAATGTATAAAGAATATAACTTGAACATAAGATTCACCCATAAGAGGGGTTTTACTAATCGCTACTTTACTAGTCGCTACGCTTGGGAGACGGGTTGGGAACCTAAGCTTTGGTGATGTTTTAAAAGGGACACTGCTGTTCATCTCTCAACTGTTAAATTTCCTTAGTCGCCTCTTACGATACCCACGGGAAAGTAAACGGTGGCCTGTTCAATGCCGGGACCGGTCTAGCGAAACTATTAATATGCGTACATTTAAATAATTAATCTATAATTTAGAAAAAAAAAAACAAAATCGCTATTTATAAATTTGAAAGTTTTAATGCAACCATTGTTTTCATTATGTTCCTTTAGGCTAATAAAACAAGCACAACCCGTTTTAATTTCGTATTTATTTACATAATCTCATTTTAGGGGTAACCAAAACCCAGGGGCTTGTGTGGCTCCATGTTTATTTTATATAACATAATAAATATTTGCCACGGTAAGCCGCGCATACCTATATTATAGTCTCATGGGGTTACACAAAGCTAAATCATTATTTTGCAAGATATTGCTATGCAAATGAGGCCCCTGGTTCGATTCTCGGTCGAGTTAATTGAATTTTTTGTGGGCTCGATTTGGGATATAACGGTGAAATTATAAGGTGCAGAGGCATATTCTTGTAGTCTTCAGGAATGGTAACAAATGAAGCCTATCACAGATATAATATTTTATTCTGTTAAGTCTATATTGCTGTTCTTCAGGCGATGGTTATCACTTTCTACCAGGTGGCCAACCAAACTAAAATAAATAAATAAATATCCCCCTAGATAAATGGCAAATAAAGTTATCAATAAATAACTTTATGATAGAATGAGAAAACAAAGTCTACTATTTGTTTTTTCTCATCATCATCATCATTTCAGTCATTATCCGTTTACTGCTGAACATAGGCCTCTCCCATAGACTGCCATAAGAACGGAGCCACTTGCAGCCACTGACTCCCTGCAATTCATTTGAGGTCGTCACTCCATTTAGTAGAGGATCATCCTACATTACGTTTGCCCGTAGGGGATCGCCACTCAAGAACCTTGCTTCCCCGTCGGTTGTCTGTTCTTCGAGCTATGTAACCAGTCTATTGCCACTTCTGTTTGCTTATCATTCGGACTTTGTCGGCTACTATAGTTTTCTCTCATGGATGCGCTATATATTATTTATCGATACATTCGTTTGCCCTTTATCTAGAGAAGCTGTTCTGGTTTATTCCCTCAGATATTCGCTGTATAGTTTATCTTAACACAAGACTGTGGTGGAACAGAAGGTTGTCAGTAACAAGGCCTAACAACCACATTGCTAGCAATATGATGACTCAGAACGATTTCCACGTGATCCGTTGCGATGACCTGAATTAATATTCATCTGCTATCCGTCACTAGTACTTTGTTAGCGTACATCGATAGCGCAGTGTTACCATTATACTTTTAATCCTTTAAAACAAAGCGGAGAAGCAAAAGAAGAGAGGAATCATTATCATTAGTAACGAAGACTAGCAGCCCCAATACTAACAACCAGTCAGGTGGTGTAATTTTTTTCTTTTTATGATGATATCAGACATTTTTGTCTACTGCTGATCATAGGCCTTGTTCTATTCAGTTTTGCTAGTAGTTGCTACGCTTGACGGGCGGGTTGGCAACCATAGTTAGATTTTGGTATGTTTTAGGAGGGACGCTGCTACCCATCTCTCGACCATTAAGTTCTTTTAATTACCTTTTATGATATCCACAGAAAAAAAGGGGTATCTTCTTATTATATATTTATCATAGACTTAATAGAATGTACTTAAGACTTAACTTCCTAATCTAAGATATTTACAGAGTATAAAATTTATTTCAGCATGACCATCTGTGATCTAGTACCCACGCTTCTCAGGTCTGCTTAATTTAGGGCTAGACGACTCTGTGAAAAATGTTCACAGCTATTTATTATGATTATTTCATTGTCGGCAGAGCCTGCTCAGCGGGTAGGATGCGGCGGCATGATCCGCTTCGTACTGCTGATGGCGATGCTCACAAGGGCCATCGCCCCCCAAAACGTAACAGGTAAATGACTTTTTTTATAATAATACCAAATTAAAAAAAGGCGAATAAGCTGATGGCCCATTTAATGTAAAATGGTAACCTTCGCTTATAGATACGGCTTGCACCATGGATATCAGAAAAAGCACTGTGATGGCGGTGATACTCCTCGTGTGCTCCTGAATCCTATGGTAGTATGCCTCTGTACCGCGTAAATTCCAAGTGGCGTAAGTTCTGGCATAGAATAGGCTAACCTTTCCCTTCCCGTGGGTATCGTAAGAGCAAGCAACAGCGGTTGCCAACCCATCTGCCAAACCTAGCAACGATTGGCAAAACCCCCCGTATGACGAAAGCTATAAATTGACCAACGTTATAAATTGATCACTATTTCCTCTCTTCAAAGCAAAATAGAATAAACACGGGTAGACTAGAAATACACATGCAGGGAGACTGTACAAGAGTCATTGTTTATTTTTTTATACAACTTAAAATAGCAAACAAACTGACGGCCCACCTGATGGAAAGTGGTATCCGTTGCCTATAGACATAAGCAGTACCATGGACATAACACAGCATACTGTTTCGCACATGATACCCCCTATGTGTTGCCGTTCCTGAGGACTCAGATGTTATTCCTCCGTACCCAGTAAATTCACGCCATATCCCACCCTTCAAACCGAAACACAGCCATGCAAACACGAATGGGACAGAGGTACCCAAGCAATTGACTTTTGTACATTCATCTGTCTCCTACCGCAGCACTACATCTCAGTAACTACTAATCCCTTTGATATTAAATAGTTTTTGGTATCGTTGACTCTCAGTTTAGTTCAGGTTTTGTACCTACCAATAACGAGATTGAATACTCGATTCCACATATTATACGAGAACTAAATAAATCGAATTCAACCATCCATCAACATCTTAAAGTAACAATCCATCTATCTTTTTCAGAAGTCCACGGCACTGAACTTGCGACCCCGCCGACATCGCTCACCATGCCTCCTCCGACTGTCTTCCGCAATACAAGAATAACAAGCAAACCTCGGCGACAAATGAAACATGGGAAAGGAGACTCGCCTATGTTGAATTACATTTTCGATTCATACGCTACTAGTAATAAACATTTTCATGACAAGTAAGTTTGCCATAGATCTATAACATTTAGATAGAGTAGATACATTATACAGGGTGTTACTGAAATTATTAGGTTCTTTTCAAGGAAAATCATTGAATCATTTCTTTATTAGATAGATAGGTCATAAACGACAAAAAAGATTTAACCTTTCGTACAAACTACCTTTACCTATATAATTTTAAACTAACATCTTCAATAAGCTTTACCTGTAAATGTGAAAGTGAGTCTTTATATGTTTGTCACCTCTTAGCGCTTTAATGACTTAACCATTTTTTATTAAATTTATTATAGTATGCATTATATTACTATTAAAAGAGATAGAAAAGATCAAAGCTTACTTTTAATTCGTCAAACGGTCATGCATGCGAAGTCGCGAGTAGAAGCTAGTTTTCATGTAGAATTAATATTATCATTAAATATAAAAAAAAAAAAATTAAGTTGAATCCATTAAACTGTAACGTTCCGGACATATATACAACACAATCACTCTAACGTCACCCTTTTTATTTTACCATCCGATTGGTATATGAAAGGATAGTCGTAACGAAAGCCTACTTTTTTGAAGTCGGTTAAACAACAACAACAACGCAAAAAACATTTTAAGAACATCATTCAATTTGCGAATCCTTGCTAAATGGACTCCAGTAATGAAATAAGGCAATAAGAACGAAATTAGCATGATAACAGTTATTACTATGCATCAATTTTATAGATACTAAGGGATCTTAAAAGCTAGCTCCTTTGTGTTTTTTACGATTCATCATCGTAATGGGTAATGCCAACATTGTATTCGAAATTATAATGTAAAAGTAAAATTAGCGGAATAAAGAGAAAAAAAGGCGGGAAACTCGAATAAGAACAAGCGGGTTTTTTAAATTTTTTTTATTAATTTATTAAAACTATCTCTATCAATTCTTATTATTGAATAAAATATTATATTTTCACTAAATTCAGCGACAGTAATATAATTAGCATTCATGGGGAAGCGCAGTTGTAGAAAAAGGAAAAAAAAAGATGACGATTCAGGTGATGTAGACCATGAACCTTGTAATGACAAGGATATATATTCGGAAGATACTTCTACTGACTCAGAATCTGAAATTGATAAGGCCGATAAGTATAAACCTTACTACGTCACAGATTATATTAGAAGATATCCCGAGGAATCCCCTGGGACAGAATTTGTTGTCTTTGTAGAATCCTCAGATAGTCAGAAAACCATTGGATCCAGAGACTTGCTCTCACTCTCCTCCTGTTTAAAACGATTTAATAAAGGGGTAACTTATCTTAGATCTATAAATAAATTCAAAATCGGAGTATACTTTCAAAAGCCAGACTTAGCCAATGCTTTTTTAAATAATAAAACTTTTTTAAATGACTACCATTTTAAGGCCAGTATTCCTGCTTCTTCAACAGAAGTTACAGGCGTTATTAGAAATGTACCTACAAATATATCTAATAAAAAAATATATACTATGATATCGAGTTCTAAGAAAATTATTGCTATTAAAAGAATTTTAAGAAAAAATACCTTGACTCATGGATATGTGTTACAGCCAACTCTAACCGTGACAATTACTTTTGCTGCATCTGTATTACCTGAATATCTGGATATTGGAGGTTGGCGCCACAATGTCACTCCATATATACCACCAGTTAAACAATGCTACCGGTGCTTGAGGTATGGACATTTAGCTAAATTCTGTAAGAATTCTGAGCGTTGCAGCATCTGCAAAGGTGAGCATAATTATAAAACTTGTACAACTGGAATGGAAAACGCTATTTGTGTACACTGCAATGGAAATCACACAAGTGTATCACCGCAATGCCCTGTTAAACAAAAGAAAATTGCTGAAAATAGATCTAAATTCAGACCTGCTTCTTTTGGAGATATACTTAGCACTGAAATATTTCCTAAACTGGGTAACAAACCTAAAAAAAATGTAGACCTAATTTCAATTCTAAATTCTGATAACAAGAGTTTATCACTTTTAATAGAAAGCATAATCAAACTTATTTCACTACATAACACAAAGAACACATCTATTAACACTAAAAGTGTTTTGAATGTGTTATATGATACTTTTGGTAATAGACCTATTTCACAAAATTCAATCGAGACCAATTAACTATCATACAGTGGAACGCTCAGAGCCTACTGAGCAATCGACATATTTTTACACAATTTTTAAATGAACATCATATTCACATTGCTCTCATCTCAGAAACTTGGCTAAAACCACATTACAAATTAAAAATTAAAGATTATTGTATAGAACGAAATGATTGTGGTAATAACCACAATGGAGTAGCGATTATTATACATAATAGTATTAGATATAAAAAACTTCACTCTTTTTTCGACAATTCTTTGCAAACTATAGCTATTAGTATTGAAGTTAATAATTCTTGGTATTCAGTTGCCACTATTTACTGTCCTACCAATAGTACACCTAGTTTTACTAAAGCCAAATTTAAGTTCTTTTTGGAGTCTCTTCCTAAACCCACTATCATATCTGGAGATTTAAATGCACATCATACTATGTGGGGTTGTACCTCCACTAATACAAGAGGTAAAGACATTCTTGATTGTTTAGATGAATGTAATTTGGTACTATTAAATGATAAGCAAGTTACTACTGTTGGCTCTCATATTTGGAGACCCAATGGCCTTGATTTAACTATGGTATCCCCATCCATATCATTAAAATGCGAGTGGTCGGTTCATGATGATCCGTTAGGAAGTTATCACCTGCCGACTTTTACTAAAATAAACACAAAGAACTCTTCATCAACTCCGTCAGGTGAACAACATGCTCCTATAGATGAAGTTAATAAACTTTTGTTAAATCGTATAAACCTACGTCTCGTTAATTGGGATCTTTATTCTGAAACTGTTAATCAATTACTTTTGGATTTCGAGTATGATGTCAATGAACCCTTAAACAATTACAATAGGTTCTGTAAAATTATTTTGACAGCTGTGGAACGTTCCGTTCCACGTAGGAACTTATCAAATAGCGATGCAAATACTTCAAAGAGGCACAAACATATTGCAGTACCTTGGTGGAATAACAGGTGTGCGACAGCTGTCAATGATAGTAAAGCGGCTTACCTTAGGTTTAAACAAAATCCAACTCTCGATAATTACATAAATTTTAAAAGAGTTCAAGCTGTTAAAAAGTTAGTAATTAAGCAAGTAAGACAACAGGGGTGGCAGGAATTTTGTTCCAAATTTAATAGATTAACACCAATTTCCACTGTTTGGCAAAATATGAGAAAACTAAATTCAAAACATCGTCAAAATCATTTTAAAGATATATCATGGGTCAATGATTTTTTACGCAAATATACTCCTGATTTTGTACACTCATCTTTTGATGACAAACAGTTTAATTCTGTTAATTCATGCCCAAAATTTCTCACTGACCCATTCTCAATTGATGAAATATCCAGTGCAGTAAAATCTAGAAAAGATACAGCTAGTGGCCTTGATCGCTTAACATACAATATGTTTCGATTGCTGAATAAAATAAACCTTACTAAACTCTTACAAATTTTTAACGATTTATGGAAGGACTGTATTATCCCACCAGAATGGAAAATGGATTGTTTGATTCCAGTAATTAAACCCGGTAAAGATCCTACAAATTTCGACTCCTATAGACCTATAACATTGACGTCCTGTGCAGGCAAATTATTCGAACAATTAATTAAACAGCGTTTAGAGTTCTTTATTGAAAGTAATAGTATATTACCATCGAATCAATTTGGTTTTCGCCGTGGATATTCAGCGCGCGAAAGTTTAGCGAACTTCTATGTCGACCTTAGTACTGCTTTGAATAACGATGAATATGTTCTATCTGTTTTTTTAGATGTCGTAGGAGCTTTTAACAATGTAAATTTAACAGTTCTATCTTCGATTTTATCCTCATTTCTTCCAATGAAACTTATCGAATGGATTTATAATTTTCTTAGTAATAGAAAAGTGTATGTTAAAGTAAATAGTAAATTAATAGGACCTAGGTTAAGCTCTAAAGGAGTATGTCAAGGTGGTATTCTAAGCCCGCTACTATATATTTTATATATCTATAAACTTAATTCAATTTTAGGAAACAGTGTGAACAACTTGCAATTTGCCGATGATTTATTAATTTATATAAAAGGAAAGAATATTATTGATATGCAATTAGTGTTAAATGAGTCATTAAAAAGACTTGAGAAATATTTTTCTCTTCTTTCCCTCGATATTAGTTTAACCAAAAGTAAAGTAGTTGTTTTTCATCAAGTTCATAAATATGTTCCATTAATGAATATTATATATAATAATCAAACTCTTCCAACAGACTGTAGCGTTAAATTTCTGGGGGTAATTTTTCATCAAAATTTAAAATGGGATCTATACGTTGATTGCTTAGTAGATCGTGCTTTAAGAGCCACTAATATAATAAGATCTGTAATTGGTCGTAACTGGGGAGCTGATCCTAAAATTATCCTTTTACTTTACAAATCTCTTGTTAGAAGTAATTTTGATTACGCTTTCTTTTGTTATGCCTCAGAACATAAATTAGTAGAAAAACTCGAAAAAATTCAAAATATGAATTTAAGACTTATTTTAGGTGCTATGTATACTTCTCCAATTATCTCAATGCAAGTAGAATGTAATTTGCCTCCTATCCTTCTTCGTTTCGAATACCTAAAACTCAAATTTCTCTTCAAAGTTTTTTCAGTTTCCAATAACCCACTCATACTCAAATTATTAAATTGCCCCATTTCTATGTTTTTGAATAAAACTATTATCAATGATTTGAATTTACGAGATGAATATAACATCTATAGTAGTAAGATACTTCCTTGTTATAATGGCCTTTATGAGAGTAAGTTCTGTAAGATCAAAATTGTTATACATAAAGACATAAAAGAAAAACACGATATGTATGAGACTTTATCAGAATTTATTGACTACAGGCAGATATATACAGATGGTTCCAAAAATGCAC